TTTATTTTTTCTTGCCTGAGCAAAGTCAATAAAGGGGGGGGGGGCGGTGCGAGTTTGCTCGTGCGTTTTTCCGCTGTCTAGAGAAACTAACCCGGTAACACCCTCCGGGGCTGAACTAGCACGCATCATCGCATTTCAAATAGGAGAGCATCAGTTATGTTGAGATGTATATATGCTGCTGCAACGAGTGGAAGTTACAACACACCTAATTATACATTTATTATACCAGGAGTGCATAATAAATTAATAATAGACATTATTATTCACTCTTGATTATACGTACGTGACGGTACGTCACTATTATACTATATGTTAAGATTGGCATGCACAGACCCTGCCGATGTAAACTCATAGACTAAACAACCAGCAGTAATTAGATTCGCCGAATTTCTTACGCAATTGTTACTGCGGTAGTTGCCTTCCGACGGAAAAAACCACCACCAAGAACAATGGCAAATTTCACCATGCATCTTTCCTGCCAATAACGATCCCCTTTCATCGTTGTGGTCGCAGGTTTTTGACTATCCTTTCGTAACGCCTGCCAAACTCGTTTTTGACAGGCCTCGCTGGAAGATCTAATCATCTGTTAATCTGTTAGTTCATCGCTTGCCGTTACGACACATATTCCTTCACGTTCTCAAAACAATGATTGCGAGAAACTTCAATATGAGCGAGGCCATGTTTTGCTTCAAGGCTTTCTTAGCAGTTTCTACTGCGGGTTTCGTTACAAGGGATGTTGTTAGGGACCTCTGTTAGAGAATGAATACATTTTGCATTCTTGTTCCCCGACTGGTTTCAATGCTAATGACGTGTCTTCTGAGCAGCGGGCAATCTGAATAAGGGTGCAAGCTGCATGCACAATGACATCCACCATCACTCTAGCTATCATCAGCCTCTATCAGTGATCTCTGATGCTTACAGTTACAGTCTCTCATGCAGTAAAGATTTTATCGGGAGTAATATAATAACCTTGATTTTGTAGGAGGCATGCAGCCACTATCGGAGGTCGAATGCCACCCCGGTCTAATACAGTCAGCTACACCCGACTCCATTATCGGTCAAATGTTCAAGAAAATGTACTCTCAGATTAAGTTAGGCCATCCAGACATGCTCTGCGGGGATCGCTATGAAAAACCGCTCGAACAAAGTGGTTGTCTAGCTGCCGAGGGGAGTGGGAGGGGATGGCAGCGCGATTAATGCCCATGCTGCGGCAGTTAATGAACGCGAGCTATAATACTAGAGCTACTGCTGCTGCTGTTACAGCGGTTGTTGTTGTTGTTGTTGTTGTTGTTGTTGTTGTTGTTGTTGTTGTTGTTGCTGCTGTTGCTGTTGCTGCTGCTGTTGTTGCTGCTGTTTTCGAGGGAATCTAATCAGAGACAGCGAGCAAAGGTAGCGGGAGTGCATGCGGGCGATGGCTTCAGCTGCCGAGAGGAGTGGGAGAGGATGGCAGAGCGATTACTTATCTACACGGATTCATCCCTCTGCTGTTCTTGCTGCTGCTGCTACTGCTACTGCTACTGCTACTGCTACTGCTACTGCTACTGCTACTGCTACTGCTACTGCTACTGCTACTACTACTACTACTGCTGTTGCTGCTACTGCTACTGCTACTGCTACTGCTACTGCTACTGCTACTGCTACTGCTACTGCTACTGCTACTGCTACTG